CGTAAAGATCATTGTCATTAAAGACAAAGTGACAGAACAAGGCCAAAGTGGATGAACGGCAGTGAGAACAAGTCTGGGGGAAAAAGTCCAAGCTTGATACCCAGTTAATTGTTTATGTGGAGAGTTGGAACAAATTGGTTCCTGCAGGCAAATGACAGCAGCAGAATCTAAGTGCTTATTGTGACCTCCAGAGGTAATTTTTTTTTTCATACCTTCACTCTCTTCCAATGAAAAACTGATGAAGCACCAAAGAATGCCTCTGTGTAACTGATTATTTCATTACAGAAATGACATTGTGCCACAGCTTCAATATTTCATCAAATACAACTAGATTATGCACAAGATCCATCCAAACAAATGGAACTATACTATCATCCCACATATAGATCGACACAAATCAAATTACCTGAAAGGACAAAATTGAAAAAGCAGAACATGAAATCTCAGCTGAATTAGTCAGTGGAGATAAATTTCATTCTTTTACTGTTTATTATTAGACTTTATATTACTGTGTCACCAACAAACTATGGAATCCATTTTCCCATTAGGAATTAAATCATTTTAACTGGAACACAGATCTATGCAGCAACAGTGGCACTCGGACTAAAACCTGGATTTATAGTGTATTAATGGAAATGTGGACGATTTCTGAGGCCCATTATCGCAGTGTGATCTTCCTCCCATCATTATACGCATAAAAACCAATCCAGATCTTAGGCTTACCTCCAAGGAGCCACAGCCAGACAGCTGCTATCGCCACCTCTGCCAGATTCAGTCACCATTAATTAGCCAGCGTCACATGCCAATCACCCGCTCTAATGAGGACAGCTCTGCCTTTGTGTCTAATGAGGGAAGCTCATGAAAAATCCTAGGGGAAAGTTAAATGCACAAGGACGCCGTTGAAAAACACTGAATGAAATCCACTACCGAAACCCCTTTTTTAAAATTCTGTTGCTTGTATCCCAACAACTCTACCCCTGCTTAAAGGAATCTTTTTCTCTAAGAGCTACAACCTTAGAGCACTCAAACAATACAAAGCAGAAGATTCCTTTTTCGCAGCTAAAACTAGGGATGTCAAAGATACTGAAATGCTTTATCAATGCATTTCTAATTTGGTATGGTATTAATACTGGTGTTGCATATTTTTGCTATCATTTTAGATTTAATAAATAAACTGAAAATATTGTAAAATAGTTTTATATTCAGGTCATTTATCTTGTATTTAACTAGCATCGGTGATTCTGTTAAAAATGTTTGTTGTTAAAGCTACAGTGCTTGATTTATTTAGCGACATCTAATGCTACGTTCACACTGGATGCGATTCGAGCAGCAGAAGCAGCGCCTCATGAGCTTCTGAGGCGCTTCACAAGCAACAGATGCTAGAGTTGGAAAAATTTAACTTTTGCTGCTCCACGCGCCACATCAACCAATCAGGCCGAGGGTTGTAAGAGAAAAAGTGTCTACGAAGTGTGTGGGAAGAAAAGAAAGGCATCAGAAGAGGCAGATATATCCCTAAATGCTTTGCGCAGAGATCTCTCCTCGCAAAGCATCATGGGATTCGCTTTCACGGCTGGCCCGCTGTCGCCATAGGCTGCCATTTCCCAACAGTGGCGACTAATAGATGGCGCACCGCGCAGTGGAAGAGGAGTTACGTCACCAATGGGATAAAAAGCAGTGATCATTTGTTCGCACGGTCAGTTAATTGAGTCTGTATAAAGTCCACTATATAGTCCCCACTGTGTGTGGAGACAGTTAACTTGTATGAGCTAACAAAGGTGGTGCAGGAACCGTCTAGTGGAGGAAGAGTTATGTGACCAACAGGGATCAAAAAGCAAAAATGGTAAGCTATAAAGTCTACTATATATATTCCCCACTCACCACTGTACAGTTTACCAGATCATACAGTCAAAATGATTCAAAGTGATTCAAAGTTTTCTATCTAAGAAAAACCAGTTGATTGCATCGACTCATTGACTCTTCAGCAATCCCTCACACTAAGCATGGTTGTAGCGAAAGTGGAGAGGAAAAACACCCTTTTAACAGGAAGAAACCTCCAGCAGAACTAGGGCTGGGCGATAATTAAATAACGATATATATCGATCGATAGACGTGTGGCGCAATAGAAAAAAAGAGAGTCGATAAAAGTTTGATGAAGAAACGCAGTTTTCCTTCCTTCTCATTGTAGCCTATCATGTAGGTTTATGCTAGTCACTACTTCCTCCCAACCAATCGCAGTCGCGGACCCAGGCACGCCGTCACAAAGCGCCGCCCTCTCAAATCACAACACAGAGCACATGAAGATGTCGCAGCAAGGAGAGGCAGAGGAAATGGTTCCAAAGAAGGGTTTTTGTAGTTCGCCAGTTTGGCAGTATTTCGGTCATGGCAAGTCAGACAAAAAACAAACCACAGTCATCTGTAAAATGTGTAGGGAACCAGTGAAACACAGTCTGATAACACAACCAACTTTTTTTTTTTTTATCAACACCCGCAGGAGTACGAGCTCTGTAAGCCTCTCCTCTCCGAGGAATCTTTGGGAATTTTGGGAAAAAATTAAATAAAAAATTCAGTTCTGGGCAGTTTCCCACATAGTTCTAGCAATTGAGAGAAAAATGCTGAGGGGCCAAAAACTTCAAAGTAATGACTCAGGTTAAAGCAGGAAACTAAGCTGAACCATAACGAGGTGCCAGCAGCACCTCTAGAAGAATGGGGGTGAGAAAAAATACCCCATAGAAATGCTAGGCTAAAGGATGAATTGATTTTTGTTTGGGTTTTTGTTCTTGTTGAGTGGAGTTTACATGGTAGCCTAGTCCTACAATCTTTTAATTACCACAGGCTGGTGGTGTACTATTCCCACCCAAATAGGGTATTCTATTTATTTATTTGTTATATTTATTTTAGTCACTTTTTTGGTCACTTTAGTTTATTCTTTGTCAGTATTTAATTACATAACTCAGGTCTTTTAAGTTATTTTTCTTTAAAACAATTCTGTTATGGTTAAAAAAGTTGGTTAAATAAATATTTAATTGGAAGTCTGTGTTTGTGCTCTTTGTTAAAATTAAATCATTTAGCAATATCATAAAAAGTCCAGGCAGAGCTGCACATAAAATATGGTTTCAAATCTTTTCAATAATTATCGATATTGATCAATATGCTTTCTTTTTTTTATCGATAAGCTTTTTTTCTATATCGCCCAGCCCTACTTTATACTGTAGTGATTGAGGGATTTAGGGGTTAGAGCGAACGTCAGGGCGTTATGTTAAACGAGCTTTGAGAGCAGTAACTTTCAAAGAGAGCGTGCAGGAGGTTAAATTGTCTTGTTGACGCTCTTGCACGCTTTTAATAGGTGTTCCTCTCGGGAGCGGATACAGGGTTGTGCATGAGCTATTTTTTTTAAAGTGGAGAGGGCGGGTCTTTTTAAAATATTGTGTTAATAAGTGTTCAGTTTGTTTACACTTCATTTATATGATTTTATCTTAATAGTAAAGGTTAACATTTTTTATGCACTTGTTCTATAGTTGATGTTTAATTATTATCAATAATTCCTTACAGCAACATATAATTGATTGCTTATATTTGAAAATTTCCTTTTGTAATTTGTAAATTTGTATAGTATATTTTCATGACATCAGCATGTACTAGGTGATAGTCAGTTTGAATTGGCCTATTGCTGAAAATGGAAGTCACCTATAAAATCTCACGTTAAATAAAGCAGAGGAGATGGAAACATGTGACTGCAGAAAGAGGACAGAAGGCAGTTTTGCTGAAGAGATCAAATTTGAGCTCCTATAAAGCAGCACACAGATGTTAGATCGTGTCTGTGTTTCCCAGGGACATCAGCTTTTATAGATTCCATCAACACAGCAGGAGGACAAGAAATCACTTCAGCTGGAGGTAGCGCTAATGGCTTTAAACTGTAAGCGTGCCACTTTTTGTGACTATGCGTGTGTTGACTGATCGAACACGCCAGCTCCATCTCTGCTGGAAGCATCAAAGTAAGATAGTCGAAACAGTAAAATAACGACAAGAAAAAAACAGGACAAATACACAAATGCAATCCTCACTACAGAGTTTCACACATAGAAAATCAGCTGTTCATGTCCAGCGATCCCAGCAATCAGACATGCCTAAAGCAATATCTTGGATAAGTCAGTAATCTTAATGTTACTGTTACACATGAAATCAGTAGAGAATAAGTAAACTTAACCCCAACACTGAAAACCAAAGAGCTAACAATGCAAATCAAGTATTGCTTTCATAAAAACTGTATATAATGCATGCAGGCAGTTTTATGCCGGCGGCATAAAAAGGCAGCAGTCATCAGCCTGTACGTCCTCTATAGGCGAATTTGATAGGAACATGTTTCTCACATTTGGGATCCTTTGGCAGATAAAAAAAAGAAATGCCTGATTGGCATTTAAATGCGCTTCAGTCAAGTATGGAGGATAAAAAGTGCCAAAATTAAAGAAATAAATAAATACAGCATTAAATAAATAATTAAATGTGTCAATAATTAATTAAATGTGGAATTAAATAAATAAGTCATTCATTAATTAAAACCACATCACTAATATAAAGTGCCACAATTAAATAAATAAATACAGCAATAAACAATTAAATGTGTAATTCATTAAATAAATAAGGAATTAAATATATAAATGTGTCATTAATTAAATAAAATACGTCTTCATTTTATTTTAAAAATATATATAATTATTTCAGTGTGCATTTAATTATTTCATGGTCCTGTGTCGCAGTGCATCAAAACCATTAAAAGAATCTGTCAAACTCACCCATCAAAGTTAGGGGGCGGGGTTAACGCGAATCGAGTCTCTGTAATCGATTTGCTTCGCCTTAATGTGCAGGGTGACCAATCAGGTGTTAGATAACAGATAACTATGAGTCCTTCGCTCCAGCTGCGAAATTCACGTTCATTGTGAACGTATCTTTACAGTGCTCGTTTCCAAGAAACCTTACATAAAGTCTTAGAAGTATGCACTCACAGTCGAGACAGAGCTTCATTCTTCTGAAAGAGCAGTTCTGGAAGCTGGCTGAGACGGTTTCTATTCAGACGACTGTAGAGTCAAAGACACAAAAAACTGAAATAAGTAAGACATAAATGTTCCAGTAAGCTCAGCAGTTGGAATTGTATTTTTTCTTATATTGCTCTTTATTCTCACAGTCTTTCCAGCTCCTTCAGCTCATCAAAGGCTCCTCTTTCAATGTTACTGATCTGGTTCTCCATCAGGTGACTGTAAGAACATAAAAAAAAAGATCAGATAAACAAACAAAAATAATAGAAATAAAGAGTGATATTGCATGGTTTAATTTTTTAAAACAGTTCAACACTCTATAACATCAATTGATAATGTATATTTTATTGATTTTATAATAAAGTTTGATACACTTATTATTTTCTAATAACGAAAACAAAACATTGAGAAATATAAACATGAGCAACTTTTTTGGTATTTTTTAAATTAACTGAACTAAAATGATGTTAATGTTTTATAAAAGTGGTTAAAAAGCAAACGTCTGATGTATAGAATTATTACTATTTGATACCCAATGCAATAACCTGTTTCTCCGACAACCAGTGCAATAATTTTATATATATAAATATAAACATTCATTTATATAAATACCCATTACCCATGTAAACACCCTGTGCAATAACACTGTTTAATGATCCTACTACAAAAAAAGCTGTCATATGTGGACGCACTGTATATACTGTTTATATCCCATGCACATTTTTCTTCCTTTTGATAAATTTTTTCTTCTTTGACTATTTGAGCTGATGTAACGAGTACATTTCTCCACTCTGAGATAAATAAATAAATCAATTAATTAGATCCTGAGCTATCTCTATAGTTATGCTGCTATAGGTTTAGACTTATGGAGGACATAGGGACCCCCGTTTCATCATTCTGCTTCATTCTCTCTCTGTTCTCCCACTCTGCAGAATCTGTTAGTTAAATCTCTAATGTTCTGCTCTCTCTGCTTTTTCTCTTAGTAGCTTTGCCTCGTCTATTCCTGTTTGGCTGTGACTCCCTCCTGGAGAGAAATATCAGCTGTGCTGCTTCCATCAATAGATGCTGGAGATCTGGCTGTTTTTCAGTGTAGTCCTGTTTCTCTGAGCGATTTTTATTTCTACTTCTGAGACAACAACATAAAAAATTAGAATACACATTCAGACACGTGTCTGAAAAGCTATTTTACCAAACAAGGTTTAAACTAAACATTTAAAAAGGGGCTTGGCTATCAAAGTTTTACAACTGTTGTTTTCCAGTGTAGTCCTGTTTCTCTGACTGTGACTGGCTGGATGTGCTCTCTTCATCCTCAGACATGGGAGCTGGCTCGGAGCTCGTCTGCCTGGCTGTGTGTTTCCTGGATGGGGCCGCCTTTTACAGCTGCTTTTTGTATCTATGCTTCTGTCTCCTTGAACCCCAGTCGGCCTCGGCAGATGGCCGCTCACACTGAGCCTGGTTCTGCTGGAGGTTTCTTCCTGTTAAAAGGGAGTTTTTCCTCTCCACTGTCGCTACAAGCATGCTTAGTGTGAGGGATTGCATTTGAGTCAATGAGTCGATGCAATCAACTGGTTTTCCTTAGATAGAAAACTTTGAATCGTTTTGACTGTATGATCTGGTTGAACTGTAAAGTGCCTTGAGATGACATGTGTTGTGAATTGGCTCTATATAAATAAACTGAATTGAATTGAATTAATAAAAGCATTCCTACTTAATTTTATAAAGAGGTGAAGTAAAGATACTTTACTAATGTTATGTACTTATGGTATTGAATTTGCATGCATGGAATTTTCAAAATAAGCATGGAGAGTAGGCTACGTGTGTATTTTAAATAAAACTGCACATATGAGCATTGTGCATGTGCACTGTTGGCAGGATTCTGATTTAGTCGATGATGATTTACAGGCAAAATTGGTGTTTAAGGTTAAGCCTTAAAAACTTGGTGATAAACTTGTCATACCAAACAGTTGTGGCAATGCAATGGAGCCAAGCGTCCAGATAAAGGCTTGTCTCTCTTCTAATCTAGAGTTGCCTGTAGATAGCATTCTCAGGCAGGTGTGGAATGCTAAAAAGCTCCCCGCTTGGTAAAATGGACTTAGAGTTTTATCAGTAATGGACTTTTCAGACAGCACGGACCTTGTCCTGTTCTTGCTGCAGGGCTTTTGCACATTTGGTTTGTATTGCACTGGTTGGATTAGCGGGTGTTTTTGTCAGCAATATAGAGCAAGTGGTAAAAAAAAGCCTTGCTAATTAGAGCAGCATAGAAGAATAGGCTGAGCACAAAAGTGCATAAAAACCTTGATCCAGAGTGCAAACTAGAAACTTATGGTTTGTGAAACTGGTTCAGGGCTTGGCCTGTTTTTCAGTGTAGTCCTGTTTCTTTTACCGTGGCTAACTGTATGTACTGTCTTCATCCACATGGGAATTGGCTCAGAGCTCGTCTGCCTGCCTGGTCTTTCCTGAACAGGGCCAAAGATGGAGCTGATTGACAGTTACATTTTGTATCTTTGCTTCTTTTTGTATGTCTGCTTCAAGAGAAAACTAATCATTCCTATTGTATAATCTGTTTGAATTGTCTCTGTAAAGTGCCTCCATACTGCTCGTCCAATGTATTCCAAGTGTCCTGAGTGGGTAGCGTCCATAATTTACTGGAAACGAAGTCATTTAGAATGTTTTTAGAGCATAAACAGTAGTGTATAGGATTTCCTAAAAGCGCGTTCACGAGTCTACGGAAACCGCGGCAGACCAAACCAGATGAAAGTGCGCATTCAGCTCGGCAAAGAACTCATCCTCTTCCTCAACACTGAAGTCCTCAGACATTTTTCTTTCGTTGTTTCTTTCTTTGCACAGGTAAACAGCACATTTCTTCTTCTACGCTTGCATTATCGGCAGAGCAGACGCTGAATGCGCACTTTCATCTGGTTTGGTCTGCCGCGGTTTCCGTAGACTCGTGAACGCGCTTTCAGGAAATCCTATACACCACTGTTTATGCTCTAAAAACATTCTAAATGACTTCGTTTCGAGTAAATTATGGGCGCTACCCACTCAGGACACTTGGAATACATTGGACGAGCAGTATGGAGGAATACTGACACGTTTTTTGTGGACTTTTATGGACCTTTCTGCCTCGGGCGCCATAGACCTCCATTATTTGAATGTCAGCAGACAGCAAGAAGCCTCCCAGATCTCCAGATGCATTTGAGATATCAAAAAACTACTCCAGAGTGTTGTTCAGCATGGGGGTGAGTAGAAAATGAAGGCTAATCATGTTTTGGGTGTACTATTCCTTTACGATAACATATGTTGTGAACTGGTGCTATATAAATTAACTGAATTTAATCAAATTATAAGCTCTCCCTTTCCACACCAGAAATAATCGCAAACTTAGATTGCATTCTTTGGGCAATTTAGACACACGATCATGGGCGGTTTTAGACAGGGGCCAACAGGGGCCAGTGCCCCTGCAGATCACGTCCTGGCCCCTGTTATGGCCCCTGTACTGAAGACATAATACTAAAGGATTGAAATTCTAATTATAATATGCACTGGAATAGACATGGTTACTGATAAGTCCTTTGGATCTATTTCATTTTTTTTCTTTACAAATTATTTGAAAATAATAAGGTGGTAGCTTCAGCAGTATTGAAACAGGATGTCGTTTTTTTGTTATCTGCTAATTATTTTTTCAAAACAAATTTTAAAAAATGCTCACATTTTTACAGCTGAATTTATCCGTTTTTCTTGAGTTCTAATTCAGATTGTATAGAAAACAGTTATTTTAACTTAAATTAAGTGAAAACTATGTAAAATTCCTAAATTATGAATTTGTATTGACCTAATAAGGCATAGCATTTTAATTAAACCTAATTGAATAAAAATTTTACCTCATGCAGCTATCTTAATATTGTAATGATGCCAGTTACACCGAGCTATTGCCGTCAACAGGTTTATTAAGCAAAACGAGCTGTTATTTCTGAGGCAACAGCTCACGCCCCTCACAACATGGCTAGCATAAGCCCCAACAAAGATAGCCCTTCAGTTAGCCTTCTCAACCTGCTTAACACTTCCGGTCCTGGAACCGCTGCTCTCCCAGCTTCCCCCCCCATGCGAACCAACAGGCCTATCGCATGAGAGCAGGAGCCAGCAGAGTCAGGCAAAGGAAACACACAAGGAAGGGAACAGAAAACACATAACCATATGGACCCCAATAAAACAAAACACAGAATCATTACAATATATTTGAATCCTTTGCCCTGTTTTTTATTCCATGCTTTTTTGTGCCCCCATTAAAACACGCTGGCCCCCTCCTGCCCCCCTGGTACATTTGGTCTTGAACCGCCACTGGACACGGTACTAACTTTTTCTTCATTTTGCTTCCTGGTCTTTCTAGCTTGTGACCGGATGGCCCCGTTTCTATTGGACATACACTATATTGCCAAAAGTATTTGCTCACCCATCCAAATTATTGGAATCAGGTGTTCCAATCACTTCCATGGCCACAGGTGTATAAATTCAAGCACCTAGGCATGCAGACTGTTTTTACAAACATTTGTGAAAGAATGGGTCGCTCTCAGGAGCTCAGTGAATTCCAGCGTGGAACTGTGATAGGATGCCACCTGTGCAACAAATCCAGTCGTGAAATTTCCTCGCTCCTAAATATTCCACAGTCAACTGTCAGCTGTATTATAAGAAAATGGAAGTGTTTGGGAACGACAGCAACTCAGCCACGAAGTGGTAGGCCACGTAAACTGACGGAGCGGGGTCAGCGGATGCTGACGCGCATAGTGCGAAGAGGTCGCCAACTTTCTGCAGAGTCAATCACTACAGACCTCCAAACTTCATGTGGCCTTCAGATTAGCTCAAGAACAGTGCGCAGAGAGCTTCATGGAATGGGTTTCCATGGTCGAGCAGCTGCATCCAAGCCATACATCACCAAGTGCAATGCAAAGCGTCGGATGCGGTGGTGTAAAGCACGCCGCCACTGGACTCTAGAGCAGTGGAGACGCGTTCTCTGGAGTGACGAATCGCGCTTCTCCATCTGGCAATCTGATGGACGGGTCTGGGTTTGGCGGTTGCCAGGAGAACGGTACTTGTCTGACTGCATTGTGCCAAGTGTAAAGTTTGGTGGAGGGGGGATTATGGTGTGAGGTTGTTTTTCAGGAGCTGGGCTTGGCCCCTTAGTTCCAGTGAAAGGAACTCTGAATGCTTCAGCATACCAAGACATTTTGGACAATTCCATGCTCCCAACTTTGTGGGAACAGTTTGGAGCTGGCCCCTTCCTCTTCCAACATGACTGTGCACCAGTGCACAAAGCAAGGTCCATAAAGACATGGATGACAGAGTCTGGTGTGGATGAACTTGACTGGCCTGCACAGAGTCCTGACCTCAACCCGATAGAACACCTTTGGGATGAATTAGAGCGGAGACTGAGAGCCAGGCCTTCTCATCCAACATCAGTGTGCGACCTCACAAATGCGCTTCTGGAAGAATGGTCAAAAATTCCCATAAACACACTCCTAAACCTTGTGGACAGCCTTCCCAGAAGAGTTGAAGCTGTTCTAGCTGCAAAGGGTGGACCGACGTCATATTGAACCCTAAGGATTAGGAACGGGATGTCACTTAAGCTCATATGTGAGTCAAGGCAGGTGAGCAAATACTTTTGGCAATATAGTGTATGTGCGTTCAACACTTTACACTGTGTTAAAAGTTGGACAATAATAAACGTTGACTCCTGAATGAGTGGGTTATCGATGAGGTGCAATGCACCAAACAGAGTATATGCCATTCAAATTACAACACATATAGTGATCCTCTTTGGGGATCTAGGTAGTAAGATGTATACCATAAGCTCAATCTGCAAATTGCCCTCATCTAATGATTTTGTCATCATATTATCAGAGCTTTAGTACAATGTGATTAACCACTGGGTGAGGAGAGGGGCGGAGCCTTAACTTGACAATGGATAACTGAGGATTTGCACAGGCAAGAGTCTTTAATTCATCATTAAGGTCTGAGATAACTCCTTCAGATTGGCATACTGGGGTGATGATCCAAGACTGTACAGCAACCACCAAGAGATCCCCATCTCAACCTTTAGAGGATATCTTACTCACGAAGGAGGTTCTGACTGATTGTTGTACCCTGGATTGAGCTTTTCTATATCTGAGGCCATGAGTGGATTGTTTCCTGGGTCAAAGGTCAGTCTTTGCCTCAAGTGATGGAGTTTAAGTACCTAGGTGTTTTGTTTAGGAGTGATAGAAGGGGGGAGTGGGCTAGAGGGAGATGGATATATGGACAGGGACCTTGCCTGCCATAAAACAGACATTCTTCTAGTCTGTCATGATGAAGAAAAGGCTGAGCCAAAAAGCAGAGTTCTCCATTTACTGGCTAGCCTGCAGTCCAAAAGAAAAAGATCACATGTACACTGAGGAGCTTTGTCACCCCAGGTGAATTTAGAGTGGCGCCACTGATCCACACTGACCGTGAGCAGCATAAAAACATGCTGGATAAACTATGGCTCTCTATTGTTGCCTTGACGTGGGACAGGGAGAGTCACAGGAAAAATATCTGAGTTATTTCCTAAATGCCTTAACCTCATGACCTAAAGGGCAAGACTATCCCTAAGTGGATCTTATTAGTCCTGTACCATTTTACTATGTCTAAATATATTAAATCTAAATGGCTAAAATACCATGATTTAATAGAATAACAAATTGCAGTATTCATGTTCAAAGTAAGACACAGCCTATTGCCTGGGAATATACAAAAGATGTTCTCTGAAAGGGAGGGAGGGTACGATTTAAGGGGAAGGGGAACTTTTAAGACTAATAGATCTAGAACAACAAGGAAAATATTATGTTTATCAATTTGCGGAGTTAAATTGTGCAACAAACTAAATGAGAATCCAAAGCAATGCCCAAACATATTCCTTTTCAAAAACATTTACAAAGAAATTATATTCAGTATAGAGAAGCATTGTAGAAAGTTATGTTTGTGTTTTTTGCTTTGTTTATTTGTATATATGTATGAAGGTATATGTGTACACATATTTATGTATGTATATGTGTAGGTAGGTATGTATTTATATGGATATATAGCAACATAATTATAAATATTGTAAATTGAAGAAATACAAGAATTAAAGGGGTAGGAGTACATAAGTTTTACTCCTTTATACTCCTTTTCGCACATGTAATAGAGGTATATTAACTCAGGAAAGAAGGGTACCTTGTTTGTTGTTTTTCTCTCCAATGTTTAAACATTGCTTTATTGTTTTTTTCGTTTTTCTCTTGCATGTTCGAAATAAAGAATCCAATCCAATCAAATGTAAAACTGATTTAATGATTAGAAGCAAAAGCTTATTTAAGGTTTAATTACTGTACCAATTATGTTCTTAACTTCTCAAAGAACTTACCTGTGTCTGGTGTTTCTTTTGCATAAAAGTAGGCATTAATTATTTCCCATGTTTTATCAATTAATATGGGTATGATATGTATATATACATTTTATTTCTATATCTGCTAGGATATGTGTTAAAGGGAAATACCTCTATGGGACCTCTCTAACGTATACCATCGCTGTAATACTCTATACCGATTAGGAGTTACAAATCCCAGGATTCCAAAGGGTTGTTAACCTTTCCTAAACAGGGCTCCAGAGACGTCAGTTGTCCTCGCCATGTCCTTCTTTTTAACACCACATCTATATCTGACATTTGACAGAACCCCGTCCCCGGGTTAACACAGGAAACACTAGATTTCCAAGCCTCACCCAGGGGACACAATGTTTTCAGGCTAAAAGGTAACAGATAAGCTTCTCCACACTTTAAATCTGCCAGACACTGACACTAAGCAAGCAAAGTTTGGTTAGCTCATGTGTCACCATAGAGCCTGAACATTAGTCTGTGCCCTCTGGCTTTCAAGGGTTAAGAAATGTATGTGTTTCCCATATCCCTACTTGACCCAATGCTACCAAAGACATGTGGGAAAGAATTTATCCAAAATATTCTGCAGCTCTGTCCATACTGAGTATAAACACCAAGGACTGATTAAAGTACAGCATACAGTATCTGTTGAGAATATGTGAGAATATAGGTGTTTTTTTTTTTTATGCAGATGGAGGAGAATTGAATGGTACTTACAGAACTCTGAGGTGTTTAAGACCAGAGAAATCCATCTTGGTTATGATTGTCAGGTTGTTCTCATTCAGATCTCTGAAAAAAACAAAGCAAGAAAATCCGGCACGATATAATCTTTAAAAACTGCAAAATAGCAATAACTTTATTTTTTATATCTGTACACTTTTAAACAAAGCATAATTTAAACGTGTATTCTAAAAACTGACAACTGACTAGAAATAAAGGTTTTTTGTAGGGCTTCTTTTTTCTAATAAAAGGGTCATGATTGAAAAAAGGTAGAAATCAGCACTGTTTGAATCAGCTACATTTCCTAATCATTGGGATTACATCTGTATAAACAGGTCTGGTGTTAAGGATGGCTTTTAATTAGTGTTGCACCAATACTGATACCAGTATCGGTCGGGGCGGCGAATACCATGAAAATAGGGCACCGATACCATTTTGAGAGCCAAAAGTTCATTCAACCACTGTCACCCATATCAGGTAGGCAATAAAAATGTCTACTGGATTCACTTTGTATTAGTCTTTTTCCTGCTTCACAAAGGTAGGCAGCATCTTGACAAAGAAATGATGGCAGCTATTATGCAGTTCTTCATATATACACACACACAGATGGTACTGCACAGCCAGGTATCGGGTATCGGAAGCCTCGTGAGACCATCCTGATCTCGCGAGCTTTCAAGGTTTCACTCGCAGATCAGTCTGGCTACTTTCCGTTAAAGAAAATTTCGAGCCGTTCACCAAACGAACGTCCAATCAGCGTTGGCTTTGAGGCGGGTTGAGGTGTGACGCAACGAGAAGCGTGACAGTTCAGTCTAAAGAACATGGCGGCTTCAGCCGATGAAACTAGCGTTAGCGTGGCTATCGAGCAAGTTTTATCGGAATTACAGAGTATTTCTTCACTGAAAGAAGAGCAAAACACTGCTCTGGAGGCTTTTCTCAGAGGAAAAGATGTTTTTGCTCTTCTCCCGACTGGACAAGAGTTTGATCTATCAATTGGCTTGTGCCTGGCTTGTGGTTGCGTTTTCGTCGTCGCTTTGTTAGTACGTCATATGCTTCGTTGATCTGATTGGTTTATTTGGCCCGTCTATCACCAACATAGGCCAATCAGCTAACCAGTATTTTCGCCCCTTCCCAAAATTACTTTAACTGAAGGTTTCCGGATGGATATGCGGAGCAAATCCAGCAAATCCATCTGGCGGAGTCAGGTTAGGGTATCGGTACTTTGATACTGCATATCAAAACATAATGAAACTATAGGGTTCCCAATGAATATGGAAGGAGCTTGAGTTCCTCCATTTGTAAATCTAAGTTTTGTTTTCCTGGTGTTTGTTTTTTAACCTCTGGTGTTGGAAAATGTGTAGCTGAAATGTTTTTTTCCAGCAGTTTTTAATTTTTGAAAATGTGCTATGATGTGTTTCCATAGAGGCCATAGTGAGTTGTATTGCTTTGGCTGTTAGTTGTACATTTCAAAACAATAACCAGAGATGGCAAAAGTACTCACTTTCCATACTTGAGTAAAAGTACAGATACTTGTGTTAAAAACTACTCTGGTAAAAGTGGAAGTACTGATTAAACTTCTTTACTCAAGTAAAAGTAACAAAGTACAGGCTTGTAAATTTACTTAAAGTATAAAAGTAAAAGTAGAAACCACTTTTTTCATGCCGTTGCCTACATTTTAAATGGATGTCTGCCAATAGGACTAGATCTCCGTTGTGTTCATTTTCAATCATCTCGTCGTCCATGCTACTATGCTAACGCCACCGCCACCAAGCTGCAATGATTTGCCGCCAATGAATACCGCCGAATCTGTCGATTCATCTTGTAGTGGTGCGTCAAATGCAACGTAAATTCCCATCCAGTTAGATTGAATTTGGTATTGATGACGTGAAAAATAATAACAGTAACTCCACTGAAATGATTCAAAACTAAAGTAACGAGCCAATTTTTTTAAATGTAAGGAGTAGAAAGTACAGATATTTGTGTAAAAATGTAAGGAGTAGAAGTAAAAAGTCGTTATAAAAATAAGTAGTAAAGTAAAGTAAAAATATCAGAAAAATCTACTTGAGTACAGTAACGAAGTATTTGTACTTCGTTACTTCCATCTCTGACAATAACTACTTCCCAAAGTCCCCACCAATGAGGACCAAATGAGGATAAAGTGCATCAGCAAGAAGAAGAGAGGAGGAGGAAATACAAGCCATCTCTTCCATCAATTATCAAGGGCATTATGAGATCTATAGAAAAAGGATTAAAAGAACTTCAAGGAATGCAGTGTTATGTGTTTTACTAAATATTTCAGCATGATCATATACCAGACTCTAGTGTCTCTCTGCCAGGCCAAACCATACCAACTTTATTTATGAAGCACTTTATACACCTACAGGACCAAAGTGCTGTACACAATCATAGAAAACTCTGCAAGGCCTTCTGACCATACAAGCAAACAGAGATTTAAAAACGGCTAGGAAACCTAAGAGAGAGTTTAGGCTCCTGTATAAGAGGGAACTCAAAATAAAATATTCTGTGAGCAGATGGTCACAGGGAGCAGAAGGAGCCCTGAAAGAAGGGAGTGTCTTAATTTAAGGGCCTTTCCAGAACCTTTGCAACACAGACTGCTACAGAAAAACTCTCCTGCATATCAACCTGCAGCTATCAACATATACATTGAAAAGAAATCCATATCAGTTACTATATTCAATCTCAAATTTAATTTTTTATTAAATTGAATTTGTAAATCCACTTGAAATAACTTTATTTTGTATGAAATTGGTAAGCATGTAGATACTTCTTAATGACTCTGAGCTTGTTGTTTGGACTGAAAGCTGTGAAGAAGAAGACGGTGATGTCACTTTTCCCACAACCTTCTCTGGTAGCTTGGTAAAATGAGCACCATGTATGTAGACGTGAGAGTCTGGGCTGTGGGCATCGGTCTGCGGAGTGTCATGTTTCCATCCTACTGTAAAGGGTGGAGCAGTCTGACCTTGTCCAGTCTACTGTACAAGTGAGGCTGAGAGACACGAAGGAACAAGAGTGCAAAGAGAAAACCTGCTGAAAGACAAAGAGGTCCAGCAGTGATCTGAAGGTGTCTTCATATTAGCCTTAGATTTTAATCATTGTCTCTGCAGTTAAAGAGGAATAGGCAACCAGCCTTCATCTCTGTACAAATAATACATTTGACCTCCTGAGAATATTTTAACCCTTTAAAGCCCGATCCAAGAATAAAACATAACAGAAATTACTTTTTTTTTTGTTTGAAGTCCTTATTTGGCCTTTTAACAAAATATGTAAAAAGAAAAAACAAAAATAAATTTTTGATAGTAATAATTTATTACTATGCGATAAGTCAAAATTATTTTTTGTAAAGTCTTCTGCCCTCTGTTATCAGGTATATCTGAGCAAAGTTTTTACCATTAAATTATGCAAAAGGTGTCAGACGCAAAACATTTCAGAAACAGTATGTATCAAATATGATACATTTGGCATTACAGGGTTAAAATGGAAAGAAATTGTGATTGCTGAGACCGTAACCACTGGATCTGAAAGCTTATTTCCACTGTAGCCTCTGTCTTTAATTTAGATTCCTTCTTATATAAAGATTTAAATTGGACTTTTCTATTAATCAGATACCATCAACAATTAAAAGTTGCTTTATTGAATAAACAAAAGTCATTTTCTCATAAGTACTTGTGTTTTAAAGGAAACATAGTTTCTCAACTAAACAAAATGACTATTGAGATAAAATGGGTGTATCTGGTGGGGTTCAAGGAGACAGAAGCAGAGATACCAAAGCAACTTTAAACCAGCTCCACAGGCAGCCTCGTTCAGCAAACACACCACCAGGCAGATGAGCTCCGAGCCAGCTCCCACGTCAGAAGATGAATTGACGACTGATTAGCTGTCGGCATGAATACTCTGTTCAAACAGATCAATCAGATCAATTATTTGATTTTAAAATGGGTATAAATCATAAAAGAGAACTAGGGAATTCAATTGCATGGGATGATTTATTCAAGTATTACCTAATTGAGGCTAAGTAACTGGGAACAGCCTACCAGAAGCTGTTTATCAGCTATTTAACATCATTTATCTTTAATTTAAACATCAAATCAGAAAGTAGGATTAACACAAATGAAGTACATATCAGATTGCTCCTGGTTAGGAAGTTTTACTAAAGGTAGAGCGCCTAACCGAGGAATGTAATGCGATAAGGAGGCTGGGAGAGAAAACTGATGAAAGTATTTGAAAAAAGACTATGCTATACATCATTATGCCCTGAGTTTCATGAATAACTATAGCTATAGTTGCAAAAGGTCAGCCTTTAACAGACTGTCTTTCTGCTTAGTGTTTATCTGTCATTCTTGGACATCTTCCTATATTCTTATGCTTATGTCTGTCTAAAATGTCTACCCATTATGGTCTGCACACTCAGGACAAAATTATGGTGCAGGTTCCAAAGGTCAGAACTGAAATGATTAAATATGATTTTACATTTTCTGCCCATCTAACCTAGACTGACGTACAGAAGGATTTCAAGTTATCTTTTCTAACCTTGGAGAAATTAAGATTTCTTTTAAAGAACATTATATCATTTGGCATCTGCAACTACCCTAATGTTCAATTATGTGATGCTTCTGCATTATGTGTTTAGAGTATCTGTTTTTAGATATTGGATTCGTTTTATGGCGATGTGATTCTTTAAAAAGAGGTTCTAATACATGGGGTCTTTCTGCATTCAGTTTTCATGTTTTCTCAGTGAATGCATAGGTTTTCTCCGGGTACTCTAACTTCCCTCCACAGTTTAAAAACACAGCTGTTACTCTAAATTAACAATAGTGTGTGTGTGTAGATGTATGTGTATGAGTTGCCCTGGAATGGATTGGCGACCTGTCCATTTTGTACCCATAGAACGCCGTAGACTGCCCCCTATGACCCTGACGGACAGAAGCTGCAGAAGATGGATGAGTGCATGGCATCCAATTCCACATGAGTGTAGATCAATCAAATTCAATTAAAGAAAAAATAATTTAGTTTAAAATAGCACAAGATTTATTTCTGCTCCTGAATAGAATTCT